CTACAGTAGTTCGCTTAACAACTGTGGCAAGGAAGGTCATAAAATAGGAGAAAATACACTTCACCAATGTCTTGCATAGCAACAGAAATTCTGTGGTCATAAATTGAGGTCTAACTGTATTTAAAATGACTTATTCAAGGGTTACTGGGGCAATTCAGCAAGTGCTGTCTTGAAATCACATTATTTTTTTCCCCCATTTCTCAATTCAATGGATGTTTAGCTCTCCTTTTGTTGGCCTTTGGCAGAGCACTCATCTGTGTCGACAACAAGTTGAGAGTTCCCGGTTCCTCCTCCATGGCACTGCAAGTAGTCCTCGACGTATGACCACAGTGGAGCCCAAACGTTCTGTTGCTAAGTGAGACAGCCGTTAAGCGAGCTTGGCCCCGTTTTGCAATCTTTCCTGTCAACAGCTATTAGGCGACTCGCTGCAGTTAAGTCAGCAGCAGTTGCTACGTGAGTTTTGCCCCAGTTTTACGAGCTTTCTTGCCACCGTTGTTAAGTGAATCACTTCCGTTGATAATTTAACAACCTGGTTGTTAAGCGAATCTGGTTTTCCCTTCAACTTTGGTCGCAAAAGGGGGTCATGTGACCATGAGACACCGCAACCGTCTTAAATATGAGCTAGTTGCCAACTGTCTGAATTATGCCCATGGGTTGCAGCAACTGTCATAAGTATGGAAACAGTCGTAAGTTCCTTTTGTTCAGTGCCGTCGTAACCTTGAATGGTCACTAAACAAATTATTGCAAGTCAAATCACCCATATTATCTCATCTCACCTTTTCTTCCTCCTGCTGCTTTCTTCTTAGCGATTTTATTTTATTTCCATTTTTTCAGTTTTTTTAAGCTGCATTTCCTTTAAAAAAAACTAAATTCACAGCCGTGTGTTCCAACATCGGTTGATCTCTGCCCAATTTTAAGTCCCTGGCGACATTTAAAATAATGGAGAAGAGATTGTTCCTACAGCATTGTCTTCTTCTGCCCCCGTTTTATATTCCTCGACACAAATGCCGTTGTTTATATTCTCCGAAGCTTGCAAAGTTACCGTTTTTAAAGTTTCCGATTTCAAGCACGTCATTGTATGAAAGGTTGCCATCCCTTGAGTTGAAAGCTCTAGGCTGTTGGAATAAAAAAGCAATTCACTCCCACTGAAATCGGAGACATTTAAGGAGATTTTTGTAAGCCAAGGTTGTTTTTTTTTTTTTAAGTATTGTATTATTTTTGAAGACGCAAATGGGAGAGCCCTCTTGAGAAAGGGAATAAAATGCTTTGTCTCGGCATCCCCTTCAGATGAAAATAAATAAATAAATTCACAGCACCCTAACTGCAGAAAGTACTTTGCTGTTTTCTGCAGGAACATCTACCGTGTGTCCCCGAAAATAAGACAGGGTCCTATTTTCTTTTGACACCCCTTCCCCGAAATAAGCGCTTGGCCTTATTTTTGGGGAGGTCTTATTATTTTTGAGGTGCAGGAGGCAGCGAGCATAGTCAGCTCATGGCTCCTGGTGTGTTGCAATATTTGGGGGGAGATCTTATTTTTGGGGTAGGACTTATTTTAGTGCATGCACTCAAAAGCCCGATTGGGCTTTTTATCCGGGGAAGTCTTATTTTCAGGGAAGTAGGGTAGAATCCAGCACAGTGGTTTTCTAGAGGGGCATTATCTTTGCTGCTGCAAAATATGACTCTTTGCAGATAGCCTTGTCTATTCCATTAATTTGGTTTCTCCTGCTGGAGAAGAAGCATGCTGGAGGACTGGAACACAGAGCCAAGAATCTTTGGCGGGGCGAATTAAAAACAACAAAAACAAGATTCATGTAGAAGCCTGTCTTGTTTAGAAAGGCCACAAGACAAGGGTGTGGAGAGGCTTGTCCTGGAAAACATGTCCTTCACCTCCACCCTCCATGTCATCCAGAAAAGTCACAGGAAAACTAAGAAGGAATAGTTGCATGTGCTAGTTTCAATATCAAAACCAGAATTGCTATTTAAAATGCGAATCTCCATTTCTAAACTCATAAATTCATCTTAAATGTTAAGGTAAAGGTTCCTATTGCACATATGTGCTAGTCAGTATGTACTGACTCTAGGGGGCGGTGCTCATCTCTAATACCACTCTATAAAGCCTTAGTAAGACCACACCTAGAATACTGCATCCAGTTTTGGTCACAGGTTGCTGTAACTGGGCATGGCTATTCTAGTGAAGAGAAGTACCAAGGCAGACATGATATTTGAGGGGCTGTCACAGAGAGGTGGAAGGGGGTCAAGCTATTTTCCAAAGTCTTAAAGCCTTAGTAAGACCACACCTAGAATACTACATCCAGTTTTGGTCACCACACTCTAAAAAAGATGTTGAGACTCTAGAAAAAGTGCAGAGGAGAGCAACCAGGATGATTAGGGGACTGGAGGCTAAAACGTACGATGAACAGTTGCAGGAACTGGGCATGGCTGGTCTAGTGAAGAGAAGGACTAGGGGAGATATGATAGCAGCCTTCCAATATTTGAGGGGTTGCCACAGAGAGAAGAGGGTCAAGCTATTTTCCAACGCACCTGAAAGCCAGACAAGGAATAATGGATGGAAACTGAACAAGGAGAGATTCAACCTAGAAATAAGGAGAAACTTTCTGACAGTGAGAATAATCAACCCATGGAATAGAAGTTGCCTTCAGATGTTGTGGGAGCTTCATCACTGGAGGCTTTCAAGAGATTGGACTGCCATCTGTCAGAAATGGTGTAGAGTCTCCTGCTCAGGCGGGGGTGGGTGGATTGGACTAGATGACCTTCCAACAATGTTAATCTGTTTACAAAAGACCACTTTCTCAAAGTTGTCCACCTTTCCTTTGCAGAACTGAAAGAAGGGACCAAATGTTTCTCCATGGCAGGCGTGTCCAACTATACAACGCTGACCTTGGCTGACCGCAAAGGGCTACTCTACGTTGGAGCCCGTGAAGCCATCTTTGCTTTAAGCATCAGCTCCATGGAGATGGAGGAAGCGGTAAGTAGAAGAATGAATGGGTTTGGACTCTGGACCTCCTACTTTCCAGGCTGGGGCTTCTGTTTCAGGCAGTGGATCATCTAAGGCAGAGATCACCAACTGGTGGTCCGTGAGAAAATTTTGGTGGTCCACAGAAAAATTATTTGCCTTTTTTAGATTGCACTAAATCAGGGGTCCTCAAACTGCAGCCCCTGGGACAAATACATGCAATGAATGCTTGTGAGTCTCCCCCTTTGGGGTCTTTTTATGTGGGTCAGAGGGGGACAGAAATTCCAACTCAGGGTCTGCTTTGGCCTCCTGGTGGGGGGGCTTTGGGCAAAAGCTGGAGGGAAGTGCTGCTAGTGGCAGAGGGCCTCATTCCAGTGGGACTGCATCATGGCCTGGAACTGGCTGACTATCTCAGCCTGCTGAGCCTCCAGGTTCCGACACCTGGCCTTGCACTCCCACAGGTCTTCCCTCTGCTTGGAAAGCCTATGCTCGTAGTCCTCAGTGAGATGCTTCTGCTGAGCCTCCTTCTCAGTCAGATCCAATTTGAACTGAGCTCTTTTGCCAACTCTTTCTCATGATGGCTACTTAGCTGCAACAACTGCTTCCAGAGTCGTTCCAGACTCTAGGGGGCGGTGTTCATCTCCATTTCAAAGCCAAAGAGACAGCACTATCCAAAGACATCTCATGATCATGTGGCCGGCATGACTAAATGCCAAAGGCGCACAGAACGCTCTTACCTTCCCACCAAAGGTGGTTCTTATTTTTCTACTTGCATTTTGATGTGCTTTCGAACTGCTAAGTTGGCAGAAGCTGGGACAAGTAATTGGAGCTCCTTCCGTTATGCGGCGCTAGGGATTCGAACCGCCAAAGTGCCGACTTTTCTGAGCTCTGCGTCTGAGCCACTGTGTCCCATTTTTCCAGTAGAATGCCCAATAAAAAATATCTCTGGTTTCAAGTTTATGTGCAGCTTTGAAATTCCGTTTAGTTCTGACTATTGTAGCATTCCAAACATTGGAACTGGGTCCCTTAAAGAATAAGCATCCGCATTTAATCCCATGTGCTGGTTTTTGCCTCTTTTAAATTTTTTTTGGGGGGGGGGGGGATGGCCTGATGTGTTTCAAATCTACCAATTTCCTTGGTTTATGGGTTCGGTGCCTTTGTACGCCGCCTACCAAATGCTTCCCTCTACAAGCCAAGGTAAAGATATACGAGAGACAGGTGGATTTAGACTTGTGAGGGATGATCCTGCATCCCTGCTCACTGTTTTTAATTCCTGGTTAAATAAATAGGATCTGCCTGTCGCTGTGGTCCTTAATGGAAGGGCAGTTCCCCTTTGGGGTTTATGGGCACTAAATCAGCTTTCCTTCCCATCAACGCTGGCACGGCCCAAGGTTGGTGAGACAGGTTGGGGTGTAGCTTTCAAATGCTGTTGCTCAGAGGGTAATTAAAGAGGAATAATTGTTCTTTGCAGATACTTTGGGAGGCTCCGGCAGAGAGGAAAGCAGAATGCATCCAAAAAGGCAGAAGTAATCAGGTAAGCACTTTCTGAAAATTCCACATTCTGTCTTTTCCTTCTGTAGAATTCCCTTAACAATAGAAGATTGAAAAACGGAGTTGGAAGGGACCTTGGGGGTTACCAGAAAACTTATTTGCCTTTTTTATATTGCACTAAATCAGGGCTCCTCAAACTACGGCCCCTGGGACGGGTACGTGCAATGAACGCTTGTGGTGCTGCAGAGAGTCTGCAAACCTAGCATTGATGAGGTTACCTAGTTGGGTAATGAAACATCTGCAAGAAAACAATCAAACCCAGAGAACACCAAACACCATTCAACTCTCAGCTACAAATATTCTCTTCTATTAGGGCAGTGTTTCTCAACCTTGGCTACTTGAAGATGTCTGGACTTCAACTCCCAGAATTCCCCAGCCAGCGAATGCTGGCTGGGGAATTCTG